TCTCTAGCTCTTCCAGCACAACCCTGTGGTCAACTCTATGGCAGAGTTGCGCTGGAGTAGGCAACCTTTTAAAAATATATGCATGCACACTCTCTCAGCCCCAGAAAAGCCATGGCAAAACCCCTGTGGAGATTTTGCCAAGAAAACCCCAAGAACAAGTAATAACAACAATAATCAATATCATCATGGTGGGCAGTGGCGGCGGCAGGACTGGCCTGGGGTCGGTCCAAAGGCCTCAGGGGGCCACATCCGGGCCTTAGGTTGCCTACCCCGACCTAGAGATTCCTAGAGAGAACATATGAATCAAAACGGCAAGTAATCAAATCCACAAAAGTCAAAGCTGCAAATGTGGAGGGCCAACTGTCTTTGCAAAATGTCTGATTATCATGAAAGGCGCAGAAACAAGGATCATGGAAGGAGGGTAGTGGCATCCCGAGTTACTTATTTTTACAGTGTGTTTTGAGAAGATAGAGCTGGCGTGGCGTAGTGGTTTGGGCGTTGGACTAGGACACTGGAGACCAGAGTTTGAATCCCTGCTCACTCATGGAAACCCACTGGGTGAGCTTAGGCAAGGCACACTCTCTCAGCCTCGGAGCAAGGCAACGGCAAATCCCCTGTGAACAAATCTTTCCAAGAAAGCCTCATGATGGGCAGAGACCTTTTTATCCTGATGGCCTTTGGGCAACTGACCAGCAGCTGCCTTGTTCGCCTTGAGTGCTGTATTTTCCTTTCTTGTTGTTGCTATTGTTTGTTGTGTGCCTTCAAGTCATTTTGGACTGATGGGGACCCTATTACAGTTGACCCTCCACATTTGCAGATTTTTCTTTTGCAGATTTGATTATTTGGGGTTTTGATTAATATGTTCTCTCTAGGAATCTCTAAATCCTCCAACACAACTCTGCCAGAGGCTGACCATAAAGTTGTGCTGGAGAACCTACAAGTTCTTAGAGAATATCTGTAGGTCCTCCAGCATGAGTCTATGATCAACTTCTGGCAGACGTTGACCATAGAATTGCGCAGGAGATCTTGGAGAATCCTAGAGAGCTGTTCTCCCAGGTAAAAAGAATAGTGGGTTTTTTTAATTTGTGGTTTTCCCACATTCACGGGGGTCCTTCACCCCTAACCCCAGTGAATACGGAGGGACCACTGTACACAATTTTCTGAAAATTTGTTCAGAGGGCTTTCCCTCCCTTTGCCTTCCTCTGAGGCTGAGAGAGGGTGACTTGCCTAAAGTCCCCCAGTGGGTTTCCATAGATAAACAGGGATTTGAACCCTGGTCTCCAGAATCATAGTCCAACACTCAAACCACTACACCATGTTGGCTTTCCTTCCTTATGTGTTTTTAAATTGTGTTCTTCATTGTTTTCAAAATATGCCTTTAACTTCTCATTTTGACTGTTAGATCTGGAGCTTGGAGGCATTACTTTTTTGGGTGGCAACTCCCACAATCCTGAGACAGCAGGGACATCAGTCAGGCTGGCTGGGGGATTCTGGAAGTTGTCATTTAAAGAAGTAACTTCTCCAAGCTCCGCTTTGGTTTTGACCTTGCGTTTTTAATTTTACTTTTTGTTTGATACTACCTTGTGTGCCAACATTTTAAAAAGAAAGAAAGAAAGAAAGAGAGAGAGAGAGAGAAAGAAAAGCAGCATATAAATCTAAACAAAACAAAAGTATTTCATTGGCACAGGGTTGGTTTAGATGATCTTTGGGATCCCTTTAGTCTACAGTTCTATTATTCTGTGAAATAGCTTTGCGGCTCCTGGCTGAGGCACCTGGGTTGATGAGCCGGTTCTTTAGACTCTGCTGCCAGTTTTTCTAACCTTCCTGGTTGGAATCTGGTAATCCTCCAGACTTTTAAAGGTGGCCTCTAGGTCATTGGAGGCATTTTCTGAGTATAAAGAAAACTAATTCCTGCTAACAGTGACCAAGGATTTGATTACAAGAAAGAGGGAAGCTTCTTCCTATCGGTTTTCGCTATATCATGCATTACATTATTCCCACTTTTCACTTCTCTCTGCTAAACTAAGCAGTCCCAAACATTAACAGATTAGGAAACTTGGCCAAAACTAACAAAATGAATTTCACCAGAAAGAAATGTAAGGTACTGCAGAGTTGGTTTGCTGCAGTGGTTTGAGTGTTGGATTACAACCCTGGAGACCAGGGTTCGATTCCCAGCTTGGCCATGAAACCCACTGGGTGACCTTGGGCAAGTCACACGCTCTCAGCCTCAGGCGGTGGCAAAGGCAAACCTCCTCTGGACAAATCTTGCCAAGAAAACCCTGTGATAGGTTTGTCTTAGGGTTGCCATAAGTCGGAAACAACTTGAAGGCACACAACAACAAATATTCAGGCAGAAAAAATGAAATGTACACACACACAAAAACCTTAATTGATTAGAAAGATGGGCCAAAATAACCAAAATGAATTTCAACAGGGAGAAATGTAAATGACTACACTTAGGAGAAAAAAAATGAAATGCACAGTTTTAGGATGGGGGACACCTGGCTTGACTTTAGTACTTGTGAAAGGGATCTGGGAGTCTTAGTGGACCACAGGCTGAATATGAGCCAACAGTGTGATGCGGCAGCTAAAAAATTAACATGATCCTAGGCTGCATCAGTAGGAGCGAAGTGTCTAAATCAAGGGAAGAAATGATAGTGCCACTCTATTCTGCTTTGGTCAGGCCTCACCTGGAATATTGTATCCAGTTCAAAAAGGATGCTGAGAAGCTGGAGCATGTCCGGAGGAGGGCAACCAAAATGGTGAAGGGTCTGGAAACCATAAAGCCCTATGAGGAACGACTTAGGGAGCTGGGGATGTTTAGCCTGGGGAAGAGAAGGTTAAGAGGTGATATGATAGCCCTCTTTAAATATTGGAAGGGATGTCAGGTTAAGGATGGGGAAGCTTGTTTTCTGCTGCTCCAGAGAACAGGACCTAGAGCAATGGATGCAAACTACAGGAAAAGAGATTCCAGCTCAACATTGGGAAGAAAGACACAACGTCGGAGTGTGGCAGAGTCTCCTTCTTTAAAGGTTTTCAGACAGACTGGGTGGCCATCTGTCAGGAACAAAGCTTGCCAAGAAAATCCTGTGATCGGTTCACCTTAGGGCCACCCTAGGTCAGAAACAACTTGAAGGCACACAACAACAACAACAGCAACCATTCTGCTATCAGCTTTGTGTCAAGCATATATCTGATTCTTTGTTTTATTTCTTTTCTTTTTTCCATTTTAAAGATGAAGTGGAAACCAAGAAGCAGAAACTCCCGCTTTTCTTACAGTGTCTTCCTTGGGGCAGAAGGAGACAGCAAAGAAATGGATATTTGGGTACAGCTGCAAATAGGTTTGATGAAGGTAAGTGCTGTGGGAGAACCTAAATAAACAGGGTCAGACGGACAGTCAGGCGCTTGAGTGTGGGACTACAACTTTGGAGACCAGGGTTCGATTCCCTGCTCGGCCATGAAACCCACTGGATGACCTTGGGCAAGTCACACACTCTCAGCCTCAGGCGGTGGCAATGGCAAACCTCCTCTGGACATATCTTGCCAAAAAAAACCTGTGATAGGTTTGTCTTAGGGTTGCCATAAGTCGGAAACAACTTGAAGGCACACAACAACAAATATTCAGGCAGAAAAAATGAAAGCAATGGCAAACCTCCTCTGAACAAATCTTGCCAAGAAAACCCCATGATAGGGTGGCCTGAGGGTCACCATAAAGCAGTAGTGACCAGAAGGCAGAAAACAATTTCCCTAGCAGAAGCAGTTGTGCAGTTTTGTGAGAAAGCTAGCTTTCTCTGGCTTTATCTGCACTGCAGAAATAATGCCGTTTGACTTCACTTTAACTTCCATGGGTCTATCTTGCTAAGAAAACTCCATGATAGAGTCACCTTTGGGTCTCTGTAAGTCAGAAATGACTTGAAGGCACACAACAATAAACGGAACAAACTAGGTCAGGCCTGGTTAGGACTTGAATGGGGGACCGCTAAGGAATACTAGGTGCTGTGGGCTATATGGATGGCTGTGACAAGCCACCTTTCAGTATTTCTTGCCTAAGAAAACCTGGTTAAATTTATGGGGTCACCATAAGTGAACAGATGGCTTGAAGGTGCAGAGAGAGAGAGAGGCTGCATGAAGGACCTAGGCATGACTTTCAATACTGCAGATGTGTCAGGTCATGGATGTAGCTATGGAGTGGGATGGGGCAAAATGAGGGCATTGCTCTCCCCCCAAATAAGAATTATGCCTCTTTGGAAAGTTTTCTTCAATCCCCAAATGTTTAGCTCTGCAGTAAGTAAGACATCAAAAACTCTTCACACTTACAACCCTTCTATTTGCTGTGTTCTATTTGCTGCCTACCCCTTTTCTTTGGATGTCTGAACTGTGTTTCTAAATGCTTAACTGAAATTTTAAGTTACTACAAGGCTAGGATGCAAAAGGTTCTTCTAGCACCTTTGAGACTAACTGTGCGAAACAAGTGGTAGAATACACTTTCATAGATTTAGGCCTACCTCCTCAGATGCAGTAGACCAACTTTACAAAAGCTTATGCTGCACGCTGTTTCCACCTCAACATTAGGAGGAACTTCCTGACAGTAAGGGCGGTTCGACAATGGAACACATTCCCTCAATGGAGAGTAGTGGAGTCTCCTTCCTTGGAGGTCTTTAAGCAAAGGCTGGATGGCCATCTGTCAGGGATGCTTTGATTGGGAGTTCCTGCATGGCAGGGGGTTGGACTGGATGGCCCTTGGGGTCTCTTCCAACTCTATAATTCTATGATTCTATGATATTCTTTTGCACAGTGAGTCTCAAAGGTGCTACAAGATCCCTTTGCATACTGGTTTTCCAGACTAACACGGCTATGTCTCTGAATTCTGCAAGGCTAGAATTGGGTTTCTGAAGGAAAACTTCATTTGGGAAGGCAGCGTTCTTATTTGCAGGGCAATCTCCTTATTCCCTCCATCATAGCAACACTCCTGGGTCAGGTATTCATCTGCTGCACTTGGACATTTGATCTTGATTCAGGGTGACCAGATGTTTTCCTTTTCCAGGACATGTCCTACATTTCATCCTTCTGCCCAGAGGAATTTCAAAATGCTCTCCATTTTTAGCATGACTACAAAGCCTGAATTTATATTTGTATTCGTATTTTTGGCTTTTGTTTTGTCATGTACAGTGGCCCTTCCACATTCGCTGGGGTTGGGATGCAGGACCCCTGTGAAAGTGGAAAAGCCGCAAATAAAAACCAACATTTTTTAAACATCTGTAACAACATATCTTTAGGAATCTCATGGTCCTCCATGACAACTCTATGGTCAACATCTGCCAGAAGATGACCATAGAATTGAGCTGGAGGACCTACAAATCCTTAGAGAAGTGTTCTTTGTAGTAATCTCTAGGTCTTTTTATGTGACTTTTTGTGGAAGTTGACCATAGAATCACGGCAAAGGGCCTAGAGATTTCTAGAGAGAACATATTAATCAAATCCGTGAATAATCAAAACCGCAAAAGTCAAAGGGCCTTTGCAAACTGCCAGAAATAGTGCACATTA